GCTCAAGCTATATGACCGTAAACATTCTCGGAAAACAGAGTATCATTATCTTACTTGGGGGCACATCAAGAAAATGAGCAATGGATACAATTTAACTTTGACGAATCTTGTTCATTGTCTATGCTTAGTAGCCTAGAATCATATAAAGAAAACTTTTAGATTTATGATTTTCTTTTTGTCCTCAACGAGGAGCTACACTAGTAATAGAAGCATCATCGACTGAGCAGAGAGCAAACGCTTCCATAGATGGCTCTGCTCTATCTACTTGTTCATGTCTGCTTTGGAAGAAGAATCTAGGTGGACGAGGTACGGGGAGAGAGATTAAGCTAGCAGTGAGCATTTAGAGGATTGCTGACATAGTTGGACGTTCTTCAGCTTCTTCTTGAACACATAGTAAAGCAATATGCAATCATCTGGTAATTTCGGTTCTTTGATAGTTATCTCGAAAGGATGGATCCACGAGGTCTAATGGTGACCCATTGCTCCATAGTCTCCAAGCCTGTTGAACATTTGAAACTAAGTCACTGTAAAAATAAGCCATAAAAATGTAAGTTTTAGGGCTATTTAATTACTCACATATGTAACCAGGTTACCAACACTATCATCCATGTGATAGAGACTACTGTTCTTCTTGCCGCTTGTAATCTCAAGAACTAAGACCCCAAAACTACAGACATTTGATTTCATGGAAAAGTGTCCGTACATGGCATACTCGGGAGACATGTAACCACTGCCCCAATACATACTTGTTGAATTAATAAAAGCATATTAAAGTCTACAAAGGCAAGAAATAGCAAAAGCAAAATCTTACTAGGTTCCTACTATTCTTCTTGTATTCGCTTATGTTTGGTCCATTCCAAAAATTCTCGCCATTCCAAAATCTGCGACTTTCGGATTCATATTAACGTCCCACAGGATGTTACCCGCTTTGAGATCACGATGGATGATTGTGAGTCGTGAATCTTGATAAAGATATAGGATCTCTCTAATTCCTCCAATGATCTTGTACCATCTAGTCCAGTCCAGTTGGCTTTGCATCGTAGAGTCTGCAAATGTATATTTAAAATGTTGAAACTAAGAATGGCATACAATATTTAAGATATATCTTAGGCTAAGTATAGAATTTGACTGACCAAAAAGGAAGTAATCGAGGCTTTTGTTGGGCACAAACTCATAGACAAGTATCGTCTCTTCTTCTTCCAAACAAAACCCAAGCAACCTTACCAAATTTCTGTGTTAAAGCTTTGCCACAACAACAACTTTGTTCTGAAACTCTCTTTCACCTTTTCCCGATGTCTGTCACCGCAACTTGTACTCCACTAGGAAATGTACCCTACAAGGGATATTTATTTTTGAAAGAATCATAAAAGTGGGAATTAGGTACAGGATTAATCATAAAAATGAAGAAGTACTCAAGTTACTAGAAGTCACTAGGAACCCAAGTTAGCATTCTTTACAAAGGATGAAAGGATGGAATATAAAAGTTTATTTTGTTCCGCAACTCTTTTCAATAAGGAGGAAATTTTTTATGTGTGATGGTACAATAGCAATTATAGAATGATTATTTGCAGTTACAAGGTTGTTAGACTTAATCCAATACATTACGTACAAAGTCTGGGACGCAGTAAATTTGGCTTTTCTCGCATCAAATTTTCTCGATCTGTTCGATGCCTCTGTGGCTGCTTGGTTCAGCGTGGACAAGACCAATTCACTGAACCGGTCTTGTTGGTTAGACGAAATATTATTGGAATGAGCTGAGATCATAACTCCATTTGTTCCATTTTGGAGTGAAGAGTCCAAGAAAAAGTTCTGGTCATCGTATCGAAGCATGCATTCCTCATACCCCATCATGCCCTGTTTTTCCTCTGGACATCGATTCAGAGTGTCGTTGGCAGCAAAGACTACGCAGTCACGGCATACATCTGGCGACATATCTCCCCGGCATAGGAATAACCCGTATGCCACGTCAGGGCTCTGACCTGCGACTGTGCTATAGAGTCCGATGGAGAAAAAGGGACCGTTGGAAGAAAGAGAAGACAAAAGGCTTCTAAGATTGGTGGAGTATTTGCTGTTTTTGGAGTAAGTTGTTGTGTTCGGACAAATATGGTATAAGTAAATAGGGTTTTGTTGTTGTGCAGAAAATCTGAGGCTTGCAAGGAAGGCAAGAAGGAATAGAGAACCAAAAGAAGCCTAACGAGACACAGGGACAGCTCAAAAAAGGTCAAAAAAATTTTGGATCCTTGGCAAAAATTTTAATTTTTTTTTAAAAATGGTCTATATTTGCTAAAATCTAAAATTTTGGATTTTTTATATATAATTTTAATAATTTTTGGGCTCTAAATTACAATAAAATTTAATTTAAAAAAATAGATCATTCCCCTGACCAGACATATTTCAATTATTCTCTTCTCCACTTTTTTTTTAATGTCTTAATAAATGTCAATCAACACTTTCTCTGTAAAAGGATGCAATTTCTTGCAAATCAACGTCAAGGCCAACTTCTTCTTGGAGAGTACCGTCAACTTGATCAACTAATACAATGAAGAACATTCCAACATAAAAAAAGGTATACATACTTTTCTATAATTATTAAGAACAAATCGGGGATTTTCTATGAAAGATCCAGAATTTCTCTTTATTATTTCTGAATAAAAAATATAAGAGCGACGGCTCTAAACTCTTTATACACAATAATAATTAACCCTAACTTAAATATGTACTAAGACTTTTATACTCAAGCCCATATATTTACATGGCCTAATATTCTATAATCAATCTAAAAAGATCTGATGGTTGTCGAACCCTAAGAGTATATGTCACAAATAAACAAAGCTGATAGTCTTCTTCTAAACGGAGTAGTCACAGTGATTAGCGAAGGTCCCATATACACATTGCTCTGCAGAGCAGTGTCGGTGTGTGTGTGGCTGGCCATGAGAACATTTCTCTCAAAAAAAAATATTTGTTTTGTCGATATGATTGCGGTGAGATTCAGCAACACCAGTTTTCAGATGGCTAAGGGAAACGGCTGAACCTTCTAATTCGCACTGTTTCATGCTCAAGCGACTCTTTTCTTGATAAGGAAGTAACGCAATGCTCCTTTGTTCAGTAATCAAGCTTGCGACTTGTGAGGAAGGCGAAAATGAAGAGAGACATTTAACGAATTCTTCTCATTTCCCTTTTGTTGCTGTGTTTATGAGTTCTGATGATCAATCTGAAGTCATACAATAATTTTATAATTTCTTGCACGTTATCATCAACTTCTTCTTGACGATTGACGAAGAAGTAAACATATTCACAGAAAACTAAATACATTCTAACCGGAAAGTGAGCAAACACTTACTTTTCTTGTTCTAGATGTTCTAATCAACCAATAAAATAAATTAATTGTAATTTCAATTTTTGATGACTAAAACTATTTTTCAGTTAAATGTATTTTTTTTATGACTAAAAATATTTTGATGACATGGCTGATGACTCAGCTCCACGTCAGCTGATTATTGATGACTTGGTGATGTGGCAGCTAACTCAATAATTGTTGACTTGTCAATATATGTTTTAGCCAAATTGTATGAGTTCATCTATGAATTGGCACATGTATATAGTTCATGTATGTTCTGTAACTATAGCCGATAATTCGTGTATGAATAAGTCATTTTCCCTATAATGAAGCCATTAGATGCATCCTAATCGGGTTGATATGTGTTAAAAAAAAATCTTGCATATCTTCCAACCATGTCTACAATTTTTCATATGCTCACTTATACTAAAATTACTTTACATGTGCCTCAACCACCTGAATTAGATCTAAGCCAAACCCATTGGCTGAGAGATTGCAGCCCGGTCCATCTACTAGCTTTTTGATCACARGTGTTAGTCCTCGTTGAAAGCTAGGCTAATGTTTGATGTGTATATCCTTCCATAAACCAATTATTTATTCTTTAAATTGGAATATTTGAAGGCAGACTTCGGGTATTGGGGTAAATTATAAACTACCAGAAGTTTGGAACTACCACGCTGTATAAAAAAACAAAAATTTTTGTAAAGAACTCTTAAATCCAAAGCCTAATATCAATTAGTTCGGATTCAAAGTCTCCCGTGTTAATTAAAAGTAGTTAATTTCTTATTAATGTGCATGACTATTTACGTAAGAAATTTAACTTCTGATTTAGATGGTAAGAACCAGATATACTAAAACACACATGTGAACAATCTAAAGAAACAAAAAACACTAGCAAAGAAGAGCTATGCAATAATCCTCTCTTTCTTATTCTTCATAAGCTTAAGTGTTATCCCAAGACCGTAAGAAGAGTGGCAAGTGGTTCTATTGCATAAAACCCGCTTTTAAAAAAAAAGTAAGAAAAAACAATATAATTTTATTTTATTTTAAATTCTATTGAAAAGGGTCCAATTATTTTTCTTTCCTAGGGCTTTACATAAAATTGAGACGGCTCTATGTTATCCCAATCTTAGTAGGAAGTTTTTACA